GAATGACAGACAGTCTAAAAAAATGAGTCACTAAAATGAAATGTGCAGCTGGGTGACAGTGAATCAGGCCTGTAATACTAGCTACTCAGGATGCTGAGATATGGGTATTGTTGTTCTAAACTCAGAAGAAAAGTCCTTGAGACTATTGTCTCCAATTAATCACCAAAATTACCAGAAATGGAGGACAGTGCCCATGCCCCGAGTTCAAGCCTCAGGACTAACACATACAAAAAAAAAAGGAAAGGAAAAAGAAATGTTCAGACATGTTTAGGTTATGAACAAGAATGCCCATATTATTGTTTCCAAACAGTATTCAACTTGGCCAGGCACTAGTGGCTCATGCCTGTAATCCTAGCTACTCAGGAATCTGGGCTCTGAGGATCACAGTTCAAAGCCTGCTCAGGTAGGAAAGTTGGTGAGACTTTTATCTTCAATAAACCACCAGAAAAACAGAAGTGGTGCTGTGGCTCAAGTGGTAGAGTGCTTGTCTTGAGCTGAAGAGCTCAGGGACAGTTTCCATGCCCAGAGTTCACGCCCCATGACCAGGAGGGGAAAAAAAAAGAATATCCAGCCTGTTTCCTGTTTGCACTGCAGAATTTGTAAATAGTTGACCAAACAACCAGCTGATTGACATTAAAGTAACTGTAGTTATTCTAAATATGCAGTTGTAGTTTAGGTATATAGTAATAAGCCCACCTTACTTGTGGATTTACTACAATTGATTTTGACCAATCTGACCCAAAAATAACACATTTCACTTTCAAAGGAATTTTCAAAAACAAAACTGTAAATGATATGCATATTATGCAACTCAGTTGACATAGGAAATATTTCATTCAGTCCCTTATTAACTTTAGTTGTGTTGTATGATCTTCTGCATTTGCCCATCTTTAATTTTGTGAAAACATATCTACCAAAATACACATGATACCCCAAGACTAAGATAAAGTATTGATAACCCTCCCAAGACAAAAAAAAAAGGCTTAATTCAAACATGCCTTATGTTAAGTAATAAAAGTGAACAATTTCAGTTTGTTTAAAGACAGCTTGTCTTGAGTGGAAGTCAGACATTGTTATGGGAAAAATAAACTAGGCTTCTACAGCATTTGAGATAAAAATCATAAAATAAGATCTGGTTTCTGGTAAGCAGTATTCATGGCACACTTTTTTTTTGCTTCTTGTTTTGGAATGGTAATATAGCCTACCCCATTGGGTTTCAGGTCATGACTACTCATACCTGCTGTATGTAGTGATATGTAATTGTACTTGCTGAAATATAAGCATCCCGAATATTTGTTTGATTTATTCAATGGTGATCTCCTTGGAACCTATAGCCATTGACATCAAAGTTCTGTAATAGTTCTAGAGCAATGCTTGCTCTACAAGACCTGTCTCCTTAAGAGACTGGTGTGGTTCTAGCATTCCCTGGCTCTCTGTTGTGTCACCTCAGGACATAGTAACTCAGACCTTTAATGAATTACAAATTGCAACTTGAAGATGGAAGGATAAGTTAATGTTAATACAGATTGAGAATTTCTGATGGAATAATTTACTATTCATGTATTGACTGAAGTTAAACTCAAAATTGGTATTTAAACAGGCTAGTGGAACCCATCACACTTCTGGAAGTCTACAATGTATTTAACATGTTTATGTATTTACTTGATCCCTCAGTTCAGGTAATTGTGGTATTAAATATTACTATGATGAACAGATGTATTACTAGACAGTTTATAAAGAATATCCAAATGTTTTGTGGGAATCCTTCAGCAGTGAAAGATTGAATAATATGCATTAACCTTAAAAGGCAGAGTGAAAGTGATAAAACCACTGAAATTATTAAATGGATTTTACTATAAATCCTCTATATGAGGTAAAAACAGGACATTTTTACAAAGTGACAGTAAATGTACTAGAAATCAGAAAGGAGACTTTTCATGCTATAGCTCTACACAGGGAAAGTTGGTTTTTTTTTTGTTTTATTGTATGTGTATGTATGACTTCTTAAAAACAGACATTCCAAAACTTAGTAGATAGGAAAGTATGGGCGGACCTTTAAACTGTTTCATTAATGTATCTATAAGCAATAGTTTATTGACTGAAATATTCGTACTTGTAATCTTTAGCATTTAAAGTTATTTGATAATTGTTAGGCCTTTGTTTCTTTTTTATTAGACACTTTAGGAAATCAGTTACAACAAAAACAGAGGATATTGTATAAAACTTGATGAATGATATGTTATTCAATGTTCTCTGAACCATTAGATTCATAACTGATAGAAAGGAGTGTAGGTATGAAAGTATAGTTTTATTATCTGATAAATTATAAAACAATACCAAATATGATTTCAAGTATACATGTTAGAAAACAACTCTGGTTTTACTCTTGAAAATATATATCACATGAGCGGTCACAATCTATTAGCCCTTAAGCTTTAGCTATATTAGTCTGTGAACAAAACAAAACAAATACCAGAAGCAAAGGAAGTAAAGGGAAATAATTGCTAGTACTTAACATTTTTAATGGAAAGGGGTTTTCTTACAAAAAATATGGTAAATTATTTCCTTTAAACTAGGCAATAGTAAAAGTTCACCAATTAGGTACTTTGTATAGAATTACAAAACCAGTACAAATGCATTGCTTTGTAAAAAACAATACAGATAAAAGAATTTCATGTTTGTTAAGAAACTAAAATCTAATTTGTTAGAAATACCATTGAGAGGAGGGGATTCTGTTTTCTTTAGGATCATTGAAATGTCACAAGTTCCTTAAAATAAGACAGTATTAAATCTAGCATATGGCAAATAATGGGGGAGATACAGTGCTCAGAGAGTAAACAAGAACTTTACCAAACCAGCAACTCTAAGATATTATCACCATGAGTTAAGCAAGCTTCAATGTTAGAAGCAATGCCTGAACTTAGCACAGGTCTCCTAGAGGCAATATATGGTTCTGCTATTTTAATTAAGCATATTATTTATCAGATTGTTCATTAGTAAACAAAGTGCCAACAAATAACATCAAAAGACAATCAACCAAAGCTTTTTAGGTCAGGAATAGCACTGCTCACTACATACATACATACATACATATATATATATATATACACATACATATATATATATATATGTTTATAGCAGCTTCCATGATATATGTTTGCAGACTCTAAAAGCAGTATCTTGTTACCACTGTTATACAAACTTCTGAAAGTTAATATAATGAGCAATTGTGGGCTTAATTTATATCACGTATTTGACAAAGTATTTGTCACTACAAACAATGCTGAAAACTTATTTTACTATAGCATCTACAGTTTTATTCATAACAAAGATAACATTTCATTAAAAACATTTAGTATATATTAGAAATTATAACAGCATTTGGTGTAAATTTTGACTGAAGCATGCTTGGAGAGCTGCAAGGCATATGCCACACCCACATCATTAAGTATAAAATGTGCCACGATTCAAGTAGAAATATATCCCAGCTTTTTTCACCTGAAACGTGCACAATGATTTTGTGTAAACCACACTTGTAAGTGAACTACCACCCAGTGGAGAGAAAGAAGATCTTTCAGAAAGATTTGAGGTGTGTGTCAGGTGTGTGTGGGTGTCAGAGTGGGTGGGGCATGAGCAATGAAGGAATCAGGCGTTTAGCCTTTCTTAGTTCCAAGCACCTCTGTTCATCTATTTGAATTTTCACATGGAAGGAAATGATTCTACAAGCTCACTTTGCAGTGTTGCTTAGGGGTAAAACTAGGCTAGGATATTCATTAATGACAAAAAAAACCACTTTAATGTTCAAGCTTAGGGTAAACAGGGAAAGGAAGGGAGCAGGAGGAGGTGGGAGAAAAATGATGAGAAGAAAGAAAGAGGAAGGTTAGAGACATGGGTGAGAGCAGAAAGGAGAGGTAGGAGAATGAGGGAAAGAGGGAGGGAGAGAGGGAGGGAGGGAAGGAAGGAGAAAGGGAAGGAGGGAAGGAGGAGAGTGACAGTGTATGGAGCAGAGGAGTGTATGCCTTTTTAAACTGAGAGGATCTGGATGGGAAAGTGGTCGTTGGAGCACGTTGGAGCACAGAGTGTCAGTCTGTGAAGCCTCACAGAGTGTGAGCGGCAGTGGAGTTTATGAAAATAAGATTTATGAGGGTGAGAAATGGCACTGGAGGGGGAAAGCAGCGGGAACGTGCCTGTGGGTGTGACACAGATGGGAAAGAGCAAGGGGAAGGGAAGACCAGGCACTGAGTGAAGACGGGGTGGGTGGGGGACAAAGGAGGAGGAGAGGGAGTTAAACAAGTGCGTTCGAAATTTCAGTGGTAGGGATTTTTTTTTTAACCCAAGAAAACGAAAAAAAATGAGAAGAAAATAAAAAGAATGACTTTGAAAAAGGGGGGCAAGGGAGAGGAAAAAGAAGGTGAAGGAAATAAAAGAGGGAGGAAAAAAAGCAACAGAGGGAGGGAAAAAAAGAAAGAAGCAAATGAGATAAGGAAAGCCAGCAAACTGAAAAGCAAGATACAGCTTAAGTGTCCATGTGAGAAAGAAAACATATGGAGAGCCCGCAGTTTGAAGAAAAAAAGGAGGGGAGTCGCTGGAGTAAAACAGAAACAAACCTGATAAACTTGTCCGAGTCGGCCAGAGTACCCCCCCCACCCCGCCGACCATAACACAGAGACCTTGTGAATTGAGTTTCAAAGTGGCACCTGCCCCGCCAGCCTGACACGGCTCCCATCCTAGGGCTACTTTGCTGCCCAGGAAAAGTGCTTTCCCCGGACCAGCTCAGCCCGTTTACCTGCCCCAGCCTAAAAGAGGTCGGGGTTCAAGGGGGGGGGGGGGAAATCAGCACCTGGATTTCTGGAGACACGATTTTTTTTTTAATAACACCACCGGCATTCCTGCTGGCTTTAAAAAAGGGGGGGGGTAGAAAAGACGGACTGACAGAGACCAAGAGACAGACAGACAGACAGACAGGACAAGTACACGAAAATGCACGCCGTTCTTCCTACCTAAGCACCGCCGTGTCCCCTTTTCTGACCATCATGTTGTCCACGGCCGCCCAGGGGAAGTCTACGCTCTGTCCAGCCGGGAGGCAGGAGGGGAGCAGGCAGCACAGGCTGAGAAGCACCGCCGCCAGCCACTGGTTCGAGCAACAAGCACCCTGCACCAAGAGCATCATGTCCATCCCTGCTAGGGCCGCTCACTCTCCGGCAGCTTTCCGCTCGCGCCCCCACCCCCTGGCGCTGGCAAGTCTTCCCGGGAACCAGGCGGCGCGCCACAGGGGTGGTGTTTTTTTTTTTTTAGGAGTGGGTGGGTGGGTTTCTTTTCTTTCTTTCGTATCCCCTCTCCTTAGTTGTTGGGTGTTGTTTCTCTCTTGTTGTTCTTTTTTTTTCTCCCTCTCCTCCTCCTCTTCCTCCTCCTCCTCCTTCTTCTCCTCCTCCTCCTCCTCCTCTTCGCGGTCCCTCCCTCCCTCCCCTCCCACCCCCTAGCACCACACTACACCTCCTCTGGGTTGCTTTTGGCCGCGTCCGGAGTGTGGCTAATTCTCGGGCTGCTCGCACACCATCTAGCGAGGAGGCGAGCGCGCTGG